CTAAACTTGGACAGTGATTGATTTATGGTTTTACTGTATCGAGTTAATGAGCATAAGTGAGCCAAATCCATTACGTTTTATGTTGTTTATTACTTTATTGTATCACCCTAAATACTTATACTGTTCCTGATCTATACAATAAACTTTTTAAAAATGCAATTTTTTGTTTTAATATTTTTTTAAATAATTGCCCGTATTTGAAAGGTACAAACACATGCATGTGTGCATGTCATTGTGGTCTCTGACTTGTGAGAAGTGCTTCTGTGTGGACCTTCATCAGTATTCACATCCAATCTCCGTTTATGAATGATATGGTGCTCTGGCCCTGGAAAACAAATCATTTGTCATCCAGGGAAGTAAACAAAGAAATGTGATTAATGCCTTTTCACATGCCACGTTCCCATGACTATGGACAATTGGCAACTTTTTGTATTGTGGTAATGTGGACTCTTGTTGTTAAATACTAAAACAACAATGTACTTCATTGCTTTCATATCATATCTTTTTTATTATTATTAAAAAATAAATAAATATTCATAAAGCTCTCTGCAAATTGAGCCAGTTCACCACCGGTTTGAATGTGTTCTTCATTTGAGCTGTAGTGTCTTTCAGGAAGGTTAACGTTAGTGGAAATGCTCTTGGTCTGAACACAAAGGGATTTTTGTTTCAGAGCCTTCCAATCGGTCGGAGGAGGAGGAGGAGTTATAAGACTTTGTGGCTGTTCCTGGGAACAGAGCAGTTCTGGTTTACACACACACAGACAGCATCTCACCTCTAACTCCGTTCAACATGGTCAGCCGGTGAGTAATGAAACTTTTAACTCTCAGTCAAACTGCTCAGATTGTACAAATGTATTTATTGTACATTTTTGGAAAGTGGCAAATTTGAAAAGTATTTCTTTTTAAAACTGATGTTTCCTTAATCATTTGTTTCCGTTAAGCTTAAGTTTGTATTCCCTTGGCAATGTATAATTTAGAAGAATGTGCTAAAATGCCTCAAGAATGAGTATATTAGTATAAGTTTAGTTGTTTTGTTTTTCTTTTTCATGTCACGTCATTATGTTAAAAATGTGGACATCTGTTTTCATTCACAGTCTTGAACACCCAGCCGGTGGCTATAAAAAAATATTTGAGTCATGTGACGAGTTAGCTGAGCCCATTCCTGCTCATGTCTCAGGTTTGTATGCCTATAAATCAAGCATTTTCAATTTTGATAACTTTCCACATTTCTCCATGCTTTCATTAAAGGGAAAAGAGTATGCAGCTTCTGCTGTGGCCGATGTAAAGACCTTGTAGCTTTTGATATGGGAGCTGTTTTATAGACATTCGGGGGCTAAAGAATTTATTTGGTTAGAGTGAACCTTCTCTCTTTCTCTGCAGGCAAAATCCCTGCCTGGCTCACTGGCAGTCTGCTCCGTGTGGGCCCTGGGCTCTTTGAAATTGGAGATGAACCTTTTTACCACATTTTTGATGGGCAGGCTCTCATACACAAGTTTGACCTGAAGGATGGACATGTCACTTATTACCGCAGGTAAGACCCTGTGTTATACGTTTGTGTGTTTATCGTGCAGTAAAATCCAAATTGAGTTTATGACCTAAAGGTTTTGCAATAAGTTACTGGAATTGAAATGACTCATATGCTGGACAATTTTTGTAAAAAGTGGTTTAATGCAGAAATTAGATTTTGCTTAATCAAATGCATATTTACTGGTACCTTTAACTCAGGTTTATCAGAACTGATGCTTATGTGAGAGCCATGACAGAGAAAAGGATTGTGATCACAGAGTTTGGCACCGCTGCATATCCAGATCCATGCAAAAACATCTTTTCCAGGTCTGGAGAGCATTTTCTATTCAATTTCATTTGGGAGTATAATAATAATGCCATAAAAGCAAATTTACTCCTAATGGTGCATTTACTTTTGGTACTTCCGTTTTTTTTTGTACATCAGGTTTTTTACTTACTTTCAAGGCATTGAGGTGACGGACAACTGCCTTGTCAACATCTACCCCATTGGTGAGGACTTCTATGCCTGCACGGAAACCAACTACATAACCAAAGTTGATCCTGATACCCTAGAAACGATAAAAAAGGTAGGCTTTTGCACTGTTGCCCAATTTTGAAGCCATTAACAAAAACATACATCTTTTAAAGCAGTGATCCTCAAATCTGGCTCGCGAGATCCACTTTCCTGCAGAGTTTAGCTCCAACCCTATAATCAAACAAACCTACCTGTGATTTTCTAATGATCCTGAAGACATTGATTAGCAAACTCAGGTGTGTTTGATTAGGGTAGAGCTAAACTCTGCAGGAAAGTGGATCTCGCGAGCCAGATTTGAGGATCACTGTTTTAAAGGAATAGTTCACCCAAAAATAAACATTTTCTGAAAATTTACTCACCCTCAGGCCATTCAAGATGCAGATGAGTTTGTTTTTTCGTCAGAACAGGTTTGCATTACATCACTTGCTCACTAATGGATCCTCTACAGTGAATGGGTGCCGTCAGAATGAGAGTCCAAGCAGCTGACAAAAACATCACAACAATCCACAAGTAATCCACATGACTCCAGTCCATCAATAAACATAGTCATGCTGATTATTAATAGATTATCGTGCTGTTTTTATCAGCTGTTTGGAGATTCTGACGGCACCCATTCACTGCAGAGGATCCAATGCTAAATTTCTTCAAATCTGTTCCTATAAAGAAACAAACTCATCTATATTTTGGAAGGCCTGAGGGTAAGTACATTTTCAGCAAATCCTCATTTTTGAATGAACTGTTCCTTTAACATCTCTACTTCCCATAGGTGGACCTTTGCAATTATCTCTCAGTCAATGGCGTGACAGCACATCCACATACTGAACCAGACGGTACAGTATATAACATTGGGAACTGCTTTGGGAAGAACATGTCACTGGCCTACAACATTGTCAAGATCCCTCCACCACAAGATGGTTGGTACATTGCTTTGTTGGTCTATAAGCATCTTATTAATGCATTCTGTGGAAGTGTTTAACTTTTCTTTAATCATTTATTTAATCAGATAAATCCGATCCAATTGAGAAGTCAAAGGTTTTGGTGCAGTTTCCAAGCAGTGAGCGATTCAAACCATCCTACGTCCATAGGTTGATATGATATGATATGATATATGATATGATATAATATAATAATCAATTCTTCATAATTAAAATAAATATTAATAAATTATATATATTTTTTTAGCTTTGGCATGACGGAGAACTACTTTGTGTTTGTTGAGACTCCAGTGAAGATCAATCTGCTGAAATTTCTGACTTATTGGAGTATCAGAGGGACAAATTACATGGACTGCTTCGAGTCAAATGACAAAATGGGTGTAAGTCAGAGCTTACTGGCATTATATCATGTTCGAAATGTTAATTATATGTTTGGAAAACGAAAACAACAAAAAAAGTGCTCTGGGTATTTTGTACGGTAACTCATCCTCTTCATTTGGTTGCATTCCCAGACATGGTTTCATCTGGCAACCAAGAATCCTGGAGAATACATTGACCACAAATTCAGAACATCTGCCTTTAATCTTTTCCATCACATTAACTGTTATGAGGACCAAGGCTTTATTGTTGTCGACCTTTGCACTTGGAAGGGGTAAGACTGCTTGTTTTTTATATTTATTGAAGCATTAGCTAACATCTCAAAATGGCCAAATAACATGTATCAACTAACAAAAAACACATGCTTTTGATAATGGCAGTAAGCATGGCCAGAGGAGAGCTCAAAAATAGACTATGGTGGTCATCTGTGGTCCCCTTTCTTTGAATGGCAGGCATGATTTTGTGTATAATTATCTATATTTGGCAAACGTGAGGCAAAACTGGGAGGAAGTCAAAAAAGCAGCCATGAGAGCTCCACAGCCAGAGGTGCGGCGATACGTGCTTCCACTGGACATTCACAGGGTAAGAGATATCATGATCCTACTTCACCTCAGGAACTATTAGACTGAATTCAGTTTGTTTCTTTATATTTTTGTCTCTGTCTTTCCAATGCAAAAGTTCATTTCTTTGTTGTTTTTGCAGGAAGAGCAGGGGAAGAATTTGGTTTCGCTTCCATACACCACAGCCACTGCTGTCATGTGCAGTGATGGAAGCGTTTGGCTTGAACCTGAGGTTCTTTTCTCTGGACCGCGTCAAGGTAATTACTCAGTCAGCACCTTCCTTATTTGGAAACGGTCATAAATACAGCCGAGTTATTATAGATTTTATAACTATTTTTTTAAAGAATTGTTTTATTTTGACTTACTATTGAATTTATATCCAGTACTTAAAATGTAATGTACTTATTCAAAACTAATATTAATAATTGTTTAAAAAAGAAATGAATAAAGTCAGATTTCAAAAAATAGATTGAAAGTATTTCCTCTTTGGGTTGTGTTTGTGTTTCAGCTTTTGAGTTTCCTCAGATCAACTATAAAAAATACTGTGGGAAAAATTACACCTTCGCTTATGGACTTGGGCTAAACCACTTCGTTCCAGACCGGGTGTGTGTGATGTGATACTGAACATTTTTCATGTTCAACATTTGCTCCATGTGTGATTTGTGTCATTTTTGTGGGGTTTTAGATTTGCAAGTTGAACGTGAAAAGCAAAGAAACGTGGATATGGCAGGAACCAGATGCCTATCCATCCGAACCACTGTTTGTGCAAAGCCCTGATGCTAAAGATGAAGATGATGGTATTCCACATCTGTTACTAAACAGAACATATATTTTGGATCTTTTTATTATCCCAAAATAATTTTTATTCTGGTTTTCTCAGGTGTTCTTATGAGTATTGTAGTGAAACCAGGAGTCACCCAGAGGCCAGCGTTCCTCCTCATACTCAATGCCACTGACCTGACAGAAATAGCACGTGCAGAGGTTGATGTCATGATTCCTGTCACTCTCCATGGCATGTACAAACCTTAAGAGGATCAGAACCACGACTTTGCATTTCAGACTATACTTTAAAATTGGTACATTTTTAATGTAAACAGTGTGATTGTTGCTATTTTAAATGGGCCAGTTATATGACCTGATATGCTTGTAATGCAACAGCTTTATGATAAACGTGTACAGTAAGATAGACGACTTTTTTAGTTTTTTTTTATTCTACTTCAGCATTTATAAACAATGTTTTAATCAGAAGTAAAATCCCATATGTACAAACAGGTTTATTTTACATCAGTCAGAAAATCACAATAATAAAGGCACCACTGCTGATTACAGGTTTACAGATTACAGATTACAAACTGTCATTAAAATAAAGATATGTGCTTAACACTAACACTGTTAGTTTATTACTTTAATAAAACAACGTATACAAGTTTATAAAGTTCACTGAGGTTTCTGCAGAGGTAGTGTTATAGTCGAAGAAAAGGAGTCCTCATTTTCTCTCTGGACAATTGATACTCTTGTTGCTTAATGATTTTCAGACACTTGCTCAAAACCTAAAAAGGAACAGAGGCATATATTTCATAACGCTTTGATTTTCAAACTCAAGAGCTTTTGGAAGAAAATCCAAATGTATCTACTATTAAAACTATTAACTCTTTTATAACAAAAGATATGAGCAAACGTTTTAAGCTAACAATGAAAAGGGTATTTGGGCAGTTAAACTACTCTTAAATATATTCATGTAATTGCATTAGATAACAACATATCAAAACAAGTGGTATTTATTTTAAAGAAATATTTCAGGTTATTATAAAGAAGTATTAACTAGGAACACTAGTTAATTCTAGTTACTATCTCTTAGGTTTACTATAATGATGCCACTAAAACCCTCAACAGCTGCTTTTCATTATAGCCTTCCAGTGAAAAGTCTAGTGCTCTGTGCTGTGCTGTTTTTTTTTTTGTCTGAAATTTGTAACGTAAAAGATGAATTACCCCATTTTTTGAAGGGAAAATTAAACCAGTGTTCATATTTGTATAGCAGAAGTAGAAACAGATTAGGCATTATTTCTATAGCAGAAGTACAAATCGACGATTCAACCACATAGAAATTAAATAAAATATATTTGCTAGCTCTTTTACCTTTCTGGTATCTTGAGGTAGAATAACACCATCATCCCACAGTCTGCCGGTGGAAAAGAATGCTGAACTCTCTTCCTCCAACCTTCACAGGGATATTTTTATTTAATTTTTTTTACATATTTTCATTTTATTTATATTTCACTTGTGCATTTGACATATTTGACATCCTGTTACATTGGCTCTTACATCTCATTAATCTGTGTGATTTCCTCTTCATTCTGCACAAATGCATCCGAGTGGCCTGGGGCCAAAATCGACACTCTCGCATTGGGCCACAGGAACAGGAAATTAGGGTCAAAAGCCCTTCCACACTAAAAAAAAAAATGTTCAGAAAGATTTTACATTTTTAACTACACAAAGTTTTTTTTTATTTTTTTATCTAGATCAAAATAACAAATTTATATACTGACCATAGCATAGCTATCACCTCCATGACATCCTCCAATAACCACAGTCATTTTAGGAACAGAAGCACAAGCCACAGCAGACATCATGGAACCCTGAGCCTTCAGTCTGTTAGTGTTGGACTCCGCCTAAGAGACATGGGAAAGAGAACGAGTGGTTTAGAGGAATGAAGTGAGCGAGGGAGAAAAGAGAGCAAGTAACAAAGTAAAACAAGATGGCGTGTGTGTAGAGCCAGATGTCATTCCATTAAAACAAAACACTTATTTGTAACTACTGGAAACTATTACACTTTCCTGTGTATCACATGTATGTTTAAATTTAATTACAAGTAATATGATTTCTCTTTTAAAGAATCTTTGTTGGAAAGTCTGCATATACGTCTATGTCTTTTGATGTACCTTGGTTTGAGAGAATGTGTGTGCAGGTTCTGGTGCCGTGTTTTGCAGGAAGATGAGAGGAATGTCCCTCTGGTCACACAGCTGAACAAAATGACTGCCTTTCAGGGAAGCTTCATATGTCAGCTCTCCGTTATTTGCCACGATTCCAACCTGATAACTAAAGATTGATGAGAAAAATAAAATCACCTTTCATAGTAAAGAAAAACTAGATTTTTGCATGTTCTCAAGAAAACATAACTGCCGTTTGCCAATGCAAAACTTCTGGGTGGTTGTTAAGCTGTGGTTTTCAGAGCATGTAACTATGCAGTACCCAGGGTCTTCTGGGTGGTTTCTTCCTGACTGAAGTGTAAAAAGCTTTTATGACATTTTAGCCCCAAGATATGGCTAATTCAGTATCAAAATTACAGATTTATTCACGTTTTATTGTCTGCCAGGTGATTTTTTGTTGCTGTTGAATTGATTAAAAAATAATAACACCTCTTCTCAACAAACCACATAATTAAAGGTACAATTCATGTCCGTAGCACAAACGAGGTGGGATAAATGTAACAAATGATGATTGCCATAGCAAGCATTGCAAATTAAATAAAGATAAAAGTAAAAATTTAATATAAAATAACAAAAGTAACATCAGTTTAACAATAGTGTTTGTTCAGCATAACATAACCCTCAATAACAGTTTTATCTGAACATCTCTGACGTAGTTTTATCCTTTTGGTAGGAGTTTCAGGTTGCCACAACAACAAAGCAGCTCTCAGAGATGTTCTTTGTGTGAGCACATAAAAGATGCTTGAAGAGATCCGTTGCCATCTTTAGCCAAGATTCCTTCTCTTAATCCACATCCTGCTCAGATCTGATTGGTCAGACATACAGAAGCAAGAAAATCTGATTTTCAGGTTAACAGGGTTAGCTGTTTCATCTTTACATTTACCATTGTACTGTCTACCATTTTCCTGTCAAGGCAGTGTCCTGATTGATGACCTAGAAACAAGTTATGCACTTAATGTTTTAACAGTGGGGGGGGAAAAAAAGATTTTCAGTTCAAATTCCACTTACACAATAATCAAAACAACTCACTTTTTTCTAATAACAAATGAACTAAAAACATCCTCCAAAAACTATTACCCTTCAATTCTGGCAAACCCAGTGAGGAGGGGGGTGCCGTAACGGGCCTTGAACTCCTGAAACCGACTACCATCAGTCAGTCGACTCACAACCTAAACAGTATAAAGAAAGAAATGAGTAAATGAACACCCACAAATTATGTGATAGTATAAGTCTGAAACGGTGCATGTGCATGTGTCTTTACCAGTCTGACATCCATGCTGTGATTGTAGCAACGGGGTGCAAGGCCCATGAGATCGTCCACGTTGTACAGGGGCTCCTCAACCTGATCGCTGTCCTCCTCTGGGAGCTCATAATTTAGGGTGGAGATGATGTTTCTGGTATACTCATATGCCTCATTCTCTGCTGCAGCAAAATGGTCCACACAGCCACTCACTCTGGTGATATAGACAAGGAGGCAAGAGATTTGCAGTTAGAGAAATATTGAAAAAATAATAATAATCTGAGCAAAACTGTGCAGGATGCATTTATAATATTGTTGCAATATTGAGTTCAATTATTGTATTATATATTAATAAAATTATTTTTTATAAATAAATAAAAATTACATTTCATTTTATTTAATATTATGGTCAACTATATTATATTATATATTATGTATAACATTATATTAATATGGTTTCTTTATAATACTGTTATTATTAGAGGGATGCATTTACTTTGTGTGTATATATATATATTTTTATTATTTTTTTTTTTTTTATGAATCTAATTGCTTTACAGATTTTTGAATAATCTATGCTGCTTTAAATATACCCAAAAACTTGACTGACAATCAGTTAAGCAAAGCAGGATGGTTTTGGTCTTTGTTAACCACCACATTTTCATCATTATTTTTAGTTATCAATCAATAACATGGTTGTGGACATACAGGGATTGAAAACCACTGCTCTGGAGATAAAGATAACGGCATACTCTGAGTGCAGCCTGGCTCCTCCCAGGTCCTCTGGGGAAACCTCCTCTCCAGTTGCAGCTTTCACCAGCGGTGGACCCCCCAAAAATATTGTTCCTATCCTGTGGACAATCACCGCCTCCTCAGACATAGTGGGGACATAAGCACCTCCAGCTGTGCATGAGCCACACACTACTGCCACCTACAGGTTATGATATCACATCACATTAGAGCAAACATTTAGCATTACACAAAAAAAATAATTGACTGGGAATGAATATTTGTTTTTTAATAAGAATGTTTTGCATGAATCTTTTATTACCTGAGGAATCTTCATTGCTGACATAACTGCTTCATTGAAAAAGGTGCGACCTCCATGGTTGCTATCAGCAAAGATCTCTGACTGTTGATAAAGCAGTTGCACAACCATTAATGCACCATTAAGATATAACAGAGCTCGCCATGGCAATAAATGCAAGTTACCTGAAGAGGCAGAAATGCGCCACCACTGTCCACCAAGTAAACAGAGGGCAAACGATTCTGCATGGCCACAACCTGCGCCCTGAGATGCTTTTTAACTGTGATGGGATACGCTGTACCTCCTTTCACCGTGGCGTCATTAGCAATGAACATGCACCAAAGTCCATTAATTTTACCGATTCCTGTAGAAAAATAAATAACACTGTTACTAAGGAAGCAGTTTGAGAGGAACCCAGTGTTGCCAAGTCCGCGGTTTTCCGAATTTTACCAGGGGAACCCAGCCAAAAACGTGTATTTTAACCCCCGGAACACGATTTTTAACAGGGAGCCCCCCTCGAAATCCAATTGGGCTAGTTTTGAGTAGCAATTGGGCGGGTTTTGTTGTGAAAACCTGGCAACCCTGGAGGAACCCCTATGCACAAATATCTGAATATCAATTAATGTCAAATGATTACATCTACTAATAATAATATAAAGTCTAATCATTCTAAATAATAAATAAAGTCTAAATAATGTTATGTCTAATTATAATAATACCAATCAATAAATAAACAACCCTGGTGCAGTGAAAAACACAATTCAAAGATAGGAGAAAAATATAATTATAAATACCATATAAATGCCAATTATTTAATGATTAGTAACAATATTACAACCTTCATTTAAATAAGCCTCACAAAGAAGCATGACTGAAATTCAGATTTTTATCTCCTTTTAATGCCTAATTTTGTATTCTTTCATTTATTTTTTATTAACCATAATTAATAAATGATAATACTTTTCACTGTATTATGTAGTATATTACCTGTGAGACAGCCAGCTGATGGGATGTCTCCATAGGGCAGGCCAAGTCCAGCAAAAGGAGAAAGTTCTAAATAATCTTCATCATCCAGCAGCATGCGGAGTCTGTCTCGTACGAGGACCTTTCGATTCCTCAGCGTATGCCGCGCTATGGCATTTTCACCACCACCCTTCATTACTTTTTCCTTGTGCTCAAGGTATCTGTTGAAACAATACAATGTGTGGATATTACTTATGTGATGAAATGTATGATTAGGCAATGATATTGTAATGTAACTGTGGGGATATCTTTAATGCAAGTGAATCGGACTTACTTTTGCTGACAGATTAGGCTGTTCCTGAGATTGGCTTCATACACATGTCTGTGAACTGGATGAAATTCTCCATCTATAACTGGAAAGGCACTTGGCAGGCGTCTCCTGCGCACAGTGGAGCTCATACAGCGGGACGGAGCTGCTGGCTGGTTTGTCCTATGTGTCAAGGGTTGCCACAGACTGCCTGAAACAGGTGAATGTGTGCAGTGGTATGCAGTGCAGCTGAAAAGCTTGGATGATGTGTCCCATGACTGTGGATTTTGAGAGAATGATGCTCTAGTGAGCTGAATGAGATTATTCCCTTTTATATGAAAAGACCTGGTGAAATAAGAGACATGCATTTTATTTGCAATAACTCCAGGAATTACACATTGGGCTTGGGATCTCTATTCAAAACACCAGCTTTAATAATATAATAATTATAATACTCATAATAATAATTATTATTAATTATTAATAATATTAAATAATCCAGATAGATAGATAGATAATTACAATTATTAGTTATAAATTATTAGTTATTATTATTATTCGTTAAATTACGACCTTTAACGTACTTAATTAAAGAAAGAAAAAAAACAGGGTCATGCAGCATAAACAAGTGGACGAATAACATAAACTAGACATAATAGAAAGACCAATGCATTTGGTGCATTTGTGATGACTGGAATCTAAATGAATAACGTTAGAGAATATTATATTTCACTTTCACTTGTTTTTTACTGTCACTGACACAATGAATTTGGTATTTGTCATTATAGAGATCGTCATTCAGGTTTTGTGCACATATACGCTAAATATAAACATATACTCTGGCAGCAACGGGCAATAAACATGAAGTGACAGGTGCCAATGTTGAGGTGTAATATTATAGACTACAAACAACCACAAGAAATACTCAAGATTCTATAAATGCATATTGTTTTAATAATGCATAATGCATTGATAATAATAATACTAAAAAAAACACCTTGCACGTTGCATTGGGCTTTCTATTATGTCTAGTTTATATTATTCGTCTAATTCTGTATGCTGCATGAGCCTGTATTTTTCTTTCTTCAAGTGTGTCAAAGGTCGTTATGAGCTTACTCGGATAGTAAACGCGAAGAACTTTCCAAAACGGCGGAAACATAGTAGTTTACCTTAACATAGCAAAAGATCTTACCTTAACATACAACAGTACATGATGAGGCGAGAGGCAGATGTCTAAAATTATTGAATGTTTTATAGTGTAACGAGAAACTAAGTCTGGAAGGAAACAAACAGAAAGGAACGTTTGAGTTTGCGATATCATGTATATATTACATAGTGATTTAATGAACACTAGAGAGCAGTATAGATCAGTAAATGAGAGTCTATGAGACAGACTTGACTTTGGAGAATTCATCATAAACTATTCCGAGACATTCTATTCTATTCTACAAGGCGGGGTTATTATAGTAAAGAAAACTAAAAACTGAAAAAAACAAAATAATTATTCCATAAAAACATTCAGCATGACTTGGAATAGAATATACGTTAACTGAAATAAAAAAAAACGGTTATTTTATTTCAGCTAGATGTCAGTGCAACTTGATATACTACAATAACTAAAACTTAAATGAAAAAAAATCTACAAAGACACATTTTTAAAACGAATAAAAATGACAAAAACACAGCAAAATTACTAAAACTTTAAATTAAAAAAAGAGAAAAAAAACGAATTCAAGATATTAATGAAAACTATAACGGTATCTTAATATGTGCACAGACAGATAACAGTGTCAACCTAAAAGCTATACCACACTTTCACTAAAAAAAATACAAAAACAAAAAGAGATTTTATAAACAAAAATAACAAGACTACCCAACCAAAACTCTATAACTCCTTCAGCTGCATATATCATGTAAAATATCACAACTATGTTATTTTTAGACAGTAGGGTTGTTACAAAATCTCCAGAGCTTCCAATTTATTACATTTCTGAACATGTGCGTATATGCATAGCCTAGTTGGATTTCATTCTCTTTGACTTTCACAATGCCATCTTGCACATATGTAAGATTTTTGTTATTACTTCCAGATCCAGAAGTACAGCATAGTTCAGCACGTGACGTCAGACGCATGGTTTTTCTCGCCGCGCGCTCCTCCCCGCGAGCACTCAGGCAAAGTGTAAAAATGGCGTCCATCATGGAAGGGCCGCTGAGCAAATGGACTAACGTCATGAAGGGGTGGCAGTACCGCTGGTTCGTACTGGACTATAACGCCGGGTTGCTGTCATACTATACTGTAAGTTTTTCTTGCATGGCTATGTGATATAAGAGAGGGTTGATCGCTAAGTGGCCTGTTCCACGATCGTTTAATGTTGGGAAGGGAACGAGCACTCGCAGGCCCGTCAGGAGTTGAGAATCTCAGCTGGTTGGGGCGGGGCTTAGCTTGAGTTACCGCGACTTCAGCCAATCCGGGCTTTGGTGGGGAAGCCGTTAGCCAATGAGCAGCTAGATTTGATGTGTTGCCAGCAGGAAAGCCACCTCCCTTGGAAAAAAAAAGCTTACAGTAGTATAGTTTAGTTTGCAAAATTTGAAGGGTGGAGGCGTCCACATGTGACCGCTGATTTGGATGCGTTAACTGCAGGATATTAAATGTCTTAATGCACATTTATAGCTTTCAGACTTCATCCGGAAAGCTCTATAATGTTCAAACTCAAGATAAATAGCTAAGCTAAGAGCTGCACTTGCTGTCAGTAAATCATCCACAAGCTAGAGCTCTCAGGTTTGTTAATGTCTACATATAAGCCATATAATTTTTTAGCCGGTGATTGTTTATTGACACAGGGTTAAACAGATAAAAAAATAACTCTTCACTCTGATTTTCTTGGTTTACTGTCACGCTAATACTGCATGTGATCCAACAACTGAAATTGTCAACTGCCAAACTGTCAAACAGAGATATAAAGCGGAAAGCGCTTAAATGTGTATATATACACACAGATTATACAACTAATTTTTTTATTATATAAATTATAATTTTATATACATGTTATATATACACACACGCATATATGTGTGTGTGTGTATATAAAGTTTTTATATTAATAGCTCTGTTTTGCATGTCTCATTTTCCAGAGTACCACCATTGTGTAGATACCATTACATACCATGTTTACATACCATTTTTCTACTGTATGATACAAAACCCAAATTGGTTACACGTATGATCTTAGACCCAACATATTGTGAACTTTTTAAATCTTCAGCAATGTGAGACTTGAATGTAGTCCAGCCCTGTGTTGGTCGTTTGATAAAATGCTTCTTTAACACTCTGTCTCTTTCTTCAGTCCAAGGACAAGATGATGCGTGGCTCTAGAAGAGGCTGTGTGCGACTTCGAGTAAGAAGCTTTCTTTATTGTTAAAGCAGGACTAAGTTGAATCTGGTCTTACTCATTTTTTCTAGTCCATCATTTCAGTGATTAACTCATGTCTGCTTGTTCTTGTTCTGGCTATTATTCTTGTTTAATTATGCTATTAAGTTAACCCTAGCAGCTGTTGAGAATCTGTCATCAGGATATTATAGTATAGAGATGAAGAATTTCAAAAAAGTATGGGACATGATTTTATGCTTTATGCATTGTATTTTAATAGAGGTAGACTGCATCTATTAATGAGGCTAATATCTTCTCTGAGGTGTCCACTACGGGTTCAGGTCAGGGTTTTGTGCTGCACTGTCAAGCATTTCAACATCAGATTTAGTAAAACATTTCTATGTGGTCCTCGCTTAGTATACAGTGATGGTAAAACAATAAAGAGCCCTTCTCAAACTGTTGCTGCAATACATTAGAAGCTCTTTGTATGGTTTAGCATTAGGATTTGTTTCCACTGTAATCATTAGACCCTCACACAACCCCGGTTTATTCAGAGATGTGCGTCTGACGCTCAGAATGTGATAGAAATGCTTCACCTATTAAATGCAATGCTGTGTAAACTCTTCACCAGCAGATGGCACACTCTTCACTTTAATATGCAGAGGACAGTTATGAAATATGCACATTTAATGCAGAGACGAATTGTTATAATATACAGAGTAGAGTTAATGTGTTAAAGGGAGCATGGTATTGTAAGTATTTTAGTTGTAATTAATGCTTAAATACAGCCTAGAGGCAGTAAAAGTTATCATCACCACCAGGTTTTGTGTTCATAATCACTATCATGCCAAAAGAATGAAGATGGATGAAGTTTCTCTGCAGTTAAATTGCAATTAAGTGTTAATTAACGAGTTTTGTGTATCTCCTTTAATGTGAGTGTATTACATAGCTTTAATTGATGACATCGTAAATAAGAAATTGATTTCCAAATTGCCTGACAGTGAGCAGTTAACGTAAATTTAAGACAGGTTAAAAGTGCTTAGGGCGTTGGCTTATTTTTCTCAAGGCCTGTGGTCTGATCTGAGCAGTTATTGCTGTCTTCCTGTCGGTAACCAGTAACCCTGGCACGTCTGTATTTAAAGTAAAAGCTTAGTGTTTTCCTTTAGACTTTCAGCATTTTATTATTCAAAACAATGGCATGTTTTCAAAGTGCTCTGTTTAAATGTTTTACAATGTTAGAAATGCTTTTAGATTTTTGAATGATCAGGATTTGCTGTGGTTGTACATCAGGTATGAAAGAGTTAATAGTCTGATGTTTTTCCTCTGGCCCTGTAATACTTACTGAATGTGCTGCAGTTTTCCCCCTCACTCTCTCTCTCTCTCTCTATCTCTCTCTCTCTCTCTCTCTCTCCGTCCTCCTTTCTCAATTTCCATCTCCTTCCCCTTTCTCTCTTTTCATTTTTTCCTCCCTTTTCCGCCTTGTTCCCCTCTCTTTCTCTTACTCCACCCATTCTCTCCCACCCCTTTCCTTCTCTCTCTCTCTCTCTCTCTCTCTGTGCGTGAGGGAGTGGGGCAGAGGAACAGATAGAAAGAGAGAGGGAGCGAATGACGTGTCCCTCAGTCTGAATGGCTTTCGCTGCATTCCTTTTTTGCAGGGAGCTGTGATTGGAATCGATGACGAGGACGACAGCACTTTCACCATTACCGTGGACCAGAAGACTTTCCATTTTCAGGGTGAGGTCTCCATTCTCTTGTTCTTCTACGGCTTTTGTCTGGTCCTTCTCCTCTCTCATCTTCTGTTCTTTGGCACCTCCTCCCGTGATGCTTTTAACCAGTGTTTATAGTGCGGCCATCAGCCGTCTGCTCACGTGTCTCTCTCTCTCTCTCTCTCTCTCTCTCTCTCTCTCTCCATACTGCTCATCCCTCCTCTCCTCTTTCCACTCTGTTTATTTTTGCTCTTGCTTACTCATTCTCCCCCACATGCTCTTTCTCATTTTGATTGTAAAGAGGATTATGACATCAGTAACATTCAGCATTCTAATGCAAACATGACCCACTCGCATCAGTTGCGGGCAGACAATCCAAACATGCATTAGGCCTGGTGCATTTGTCCGGCTTATCTCTTGCGACCACTGACTGGGACGATCTGCAGATTTCATAGTTTTGTGAATTGAGATCAGAGGCTCTCGGATTTTTTCCAGGATCCATGTTGAATTTCTACTAGGAATTTCCTCGAAGCTGGAAGAACTCTTCGAGAAACGGAGTAGAACAGACAGTCTCACCGCAGAGTTACGCAAGGCTGCTGGCTGCTGAGCTCCAGGTTTTTAGCCTCTAGCCTCCACCTTCTCTCACTGGCTCATCTGTCCTCCTCCACCCCCCCTGGCATCCGCCCTGCCGGGGGTGCGTTCACTCTCCCCATGCCCTCACCCACTGCTATGTTCCGACACTGTATGCTGTGGCTTTACAGTAAGAAGGGTAAGGTCACGCTCAGCTGGGACTCGTCTGATTGCGTCTTCTGCCGTGACCGTTTATCATTGCGGTTTGCATTAATGATTAGTTTCAACCATGCTTTGTTTTTATTTACACTTGAAGTTGGCTGGTTGCGTTAACTTTGAGTGTGTTATTCGTTCTCAAGAGTTACAGGTTTTGAAAATACGTACTTGGTGGCATTATGTTGAGTTTGTTAAGATTGTGGCTTTTATATTTATCAGTGATAGTTTTAGGCTCATCCCATCCTATTATTAGTCTTCCATGCATATATTGAAGGAAAAAGATTATTTTTCTCTTTATTAATTTTCACTTTCACCAGTAAAATTCATTGCCGACATTCTTTGGTATCGTGTGACAGTTGTGCTATGGTATGCCAATCCAAACCTCTTTTAAAAAAAACAAACCCGACCTGCCGTGTCAGATTTGTGCGTTTGCATGTGTGTATTTCAGTGAGTG